TTCTCCTATTTCCTTTTATCTTCTCTAACTTAACATCTCTCTTCCTGTCACTTCCATCATATTGGTCCTGTACTTCACCTAAGTCCTCAACTTAAAGACCTTTAAATATTGGAAGGGAAGAGATACTGTGGGTGAAGGGAAGAACATTCCCTTGAGCACCCAGTATTTTACAGGACATATGGTGGGTGTATTTTATGTTACCTCTGTAACTCCTTCAACAATCCAGTAAAGTAGGCAGCAATATTGGCATTTTACTCCGACGTAAGTAAAACTCCCCCACATTTGCTTATCTAGGACTGAAATCCAATTTTCAAAGACTCTAAAGGTTCTGAGTCAAGAGGCTGGGGTGCTAATTTATGTCCGTTAATGCTAGCTGCATGGAGCTGACTCCTTTTTACTATTTCTAAAATTGGGAGCATAGTTCTTTTTGTCCTAGGCAACCTCACAAGGATTTTTTGAAGACAGAGGCTTTCATGTTAATGAAAGACTTTTTGCTGCAGGCAGACATCATGGCCTTTGGAATCACACCCAACAGAACTCTATTGCCCTTTTGAAGTGAGAACTTTTCTCATAGAAGTAATTCAAGCCCTGGGGAAATTTTGGCTTTATTGTGTCCTTTTCAGACTTGTGAGAAAATGTGTATGCTGGGGAGCAATAATTCTCATTTCAGCCAGAGAATACCTATCAACACTAAAGCAAGTCCCAAACCATTGGGAGACTAAACAACCTGGACTAAAATAACATTGACACTCACATTGAGACAGTCAGGAATGATTTAGAGTCAGAGTTTGATGATCACCACAACAAACTGTTTTAGAGATTTACTAACATTCCAAGGTCAGTGTTTGGAAATTCGTAATGAGTACTCCAATGGTACAAGTGTATTTGGACTAAAATAGTATTTTACACTATGTGTATAAATTTTGGTTTTTGCCACATTTACAGCACTTTAATAGGCTGGTTTTTTAAAATAGCTATTTGATTTAAAAAATACCATGTCACCAAATAACTATTTCGAATATTTTTCTTTATTTAATTGACTTTGAGATGGACAAAATTTCGAAAACCACCTATAACTCAAGGGTTTTGGAAATGTTTTAACACAACGTGGATTCTTTGGGGTTTCTATTATTTAACTTTGTCTGGGGATTTCTTTATGTTCTTTTATCAGGTTCTGCAAAGTACTTATTATTCAAGTTGGATAAACCAGTTCTGCAGACTGCATCCCTAGTGCATTTTCAAAGAATGACAACTGCCCTTAACATTCTTGCAGACCTGGATACCTATCTGTGTGAAACCAGTAGGTAAGTATTTATTTAAACCATTGTAGATTACATACGAAACTTGCCAAAATAAATATGCCTAGGAAAACTGAAAGAAACGTGCTATGATATTAACAAGAGTTATCTTTGGATGGTGAGATTGCGGGCAACTTTTTTTCCTTCCTGTCCTATTTTAAACGATGAATATATGTTGCTTTTATAATAAAGAAGCTTTACTTTTGAAAAAGCAGTTGCAGACACAATAATAGCCACACAAATAAAATGAGATCTCAGGTGCATGTGCAGGTGACAGAATGCTAAGTGGGGACACAGACACATCTACTGATTGCAGAAACAGATTGTAACTGGAGAGCCTGGCCTGCCTGGCTCTCATGTGCTGCCTTCCTTGCAGATCACAAATATAACCCCAAACATAGTGACAGGTCTTTGGTACCACATTATTTCTTTCTAACCCCTTATGGAAGGGTAATACCTTCCTCAAGAAGATCAGCTGAATAGAGGTGCCTGGGTGGATCAGTCCGTTAAGCATCTGAGTTCAGCTCAGGTCATGACCTCGCAGTTTGTGAGTTCAAGCCTCACGTTGGGCTCTGTGCTGCCAGCTCAGAGGCCTGGAGCCTGTTTCTTATTCTGTGTCTCCCTCTCTCTCTCTCTGTTCCTCCACTGCTCACTCTCTGTCTCTCTCTCAAAAATAAATAAACACTTAAACAATTTAAAAAAAAGTAGACCAACTGAATAATTACAGATTTGACCTGAGAAACTAGTTTAGTTAATGTAGGCCATTTGGTTCTAAGCAACATATTTACCATTCAGTACCAAGAGTTCACAAGATAAAAAGTGTCTATATATACATGAAGGGTAATCAGACTTGTCAATTGTCCAATCTTGACTTTTAATGGGATTGACAGAATTTACATTAAGGAAATAAGAGAAGTGTTGCCCCCAAAATGTCCTGGAAGAGGTACCAAGTTCTTATGAATATAGACAGATCCTATTAAGTCTAGAAAGCTGGAAGGAACCTCTATCCCAGGCTGTTTACTAAAAGCTGATTTAAAGTACTAAAACAAACTAAAAATATTATAGAACATATTCATATAAATATGTACATATTCAAAGATAAACTTCTTACAATTTTTATTTTATTCATTTCTTCATCCATCCATCCACTCATTCATTAATTCATCAAATGCTTTTTTTTTAGTATCTTCTCTATGAGAGACAACATCTTAGGAGTTGGGGAGTATGTCAGAGAACAAACACAAAAATCCTGCGTTCATAGAGCTTATGTTTATAGTGCTAGAAAGATTTAAAAACAAATAAACAAGTAAAATATATAGTACATCAAATGGGGACGAGTGTTATGAAGAAAAATAAAGCCGGGAGGTGAGGTAGGGCATGCCAAGTGGGAGGTGTGTGTGAGGAGAGAGGTCTTGTTGTTTTAAATAGGGTGGTCAGGAAAGGCCTCACCAATAAGGTAAGTTGGTTAAGAGACATAAAAGAATTGCTTCCAGACATCTTTAATATTTCCCTTTCACAAATCGTTTGAGCAGCAGAAGTGGGATAGCATTGATCCCGTGTTTCTGTTATTTTTACTGCACATGTGAAATAATCCTACTTTTTAGGCTCTAAATGTGGCACCGTCAGCACAAGAAGATGGTTTTACACAGAAATAAAACACGGTAAAAAATTTCCTTTGGAGTTATATGCCTACTGCACAGACCCACTCATATGTCACTCTTTGGTGGTCCCGTTGAACTAACACAACCATATACATGGAAGTTAGCTTTTTTTCCCTATTCATTCATGTGTCTGCTTTCTGAAGTTGACTTTGAGCCTACTGAAGGCAGGGATGGGACAATGATTTGTTCGTCTCAGCAGCCTCAATGCTTAGCCCAGTGCCTGGCGTCTGTCAGGTGCTTGATGATTGCCTGTTAAATAAATAAATTTCAAAAGTAGAAAAGACACTGACTTCAGACAGTTTAAGAGATTAATTCCCAGTGGGCACATTAACCTATTAAACTGCCCAAAGTGGATAACTGTCTTACATCACGATGAGCTCTCACCTTCTCTAAGCCCTATATGGAGCTCGCATCAAGGACTCTGAAATAAAATGATGGTGCCTCCAACAGCAATGCTTTCAGCATAAGGAACTCTCAGAGGTGGTTTCCAATCCCATTTCCCCTATGACAGTGATGTAAAATGAGAAAGCTGTCATCCCCACATTTTTTCTACCTATGTGACAGATCATTTGGCTATGTCAACTTTCTGATATGGTGTGGAGGAGTGATATTCCTCATACTGGATTAGGGGGCAAAATCATGACAATGTATGATATCCATACTTGGGAGAGCAATGAAAGGGGAAAAAGGAAACTAAAAGCTTCATTTTACAATGGAGTCCTGATTCTAGGCCTTAATAATTGTGTAGTTTTAGACCAGTTGCTGAATCTCTGCAAATCCCATGACCTCATCTGTAAATTGGGAATAATAATTACTATTTTTATGAAGCGTTGTTATGAAATATTATTTTGTTGGTCATAACAGTATTATTATGAAGGTCAAGTTAGATAATATCTAGAAAGTGGTATGGTGATTGATCTATAATGTGGATGTTCAACAGATTATTGTTAATACTTTTATTACTATTCCCACTAGTACTAATGTCACTATTAGAGAAATCATGCAAATAAGACTTTTTAAATCAATTGTTGAATGTTTATGTGATCATTGAGGATAATTCTCACAAATATATTTGCACTTTACAATTTACCTCCTTTGGGGTACCTGGGTAGCTCAGTCACTTAAGCCTCTGTCTCTTGATTTTTGGCTCAGGTCCTGATCTCACAGTTCATGAGAGCGAGCCCCACATCAGGCTCTGCTGACAGCTCAGATCTTGCTTGTGATTCTGTCTCTCCCTCTTTCTGTGCCCTTCCCCTACTCATGTGCATGTTCTCTCTCTCTCTTTCTCTCTCTCTCTCTCTCAAAATAAAATAAACATTTAAAAAATTTTACCTCCTTCTATATACTTATAATAATATTAAACCAAGTAACATTTATAATATTCTTGAATGTCTCTCTTATCTCTTAAGAATATGAAGAAAGTTGGGGGCACCTCGGTGGCTCAGTCAGTTAAGTGTCTGACTCTTGGTTTTGGCTCAGGTCATCATTTCACAGTTTGTGAGTTCAAGCCCTGCATCAGGCTCTATGCTGATGGCGCAGAACCTCCTTGGGATTCTCTCTTCCCCCCTCTCTCTCTGCCCCTCCCCTGATCATGCGCATGGTCTCTCTCTCAAAATAAATAAAAACTTAAAAAAAAGAATATGAAGAAAGTTAAGATATTGTATCAACACAATGTCGACTGCAAAATGGGCTGGTATTTAACAGAACATTTCTGTGGTCCTGGGGCACCTGCAGGCAAAGGAACAGGTCAGCAGGCATTTTGCCATCATGGTGGTTGACATATTATCTCTGTCACTTTGATACTTTTCTGGTCGAAAGATGCAGTCAATGGAAGTCATTATCTTTTTCGGTAGGAAAGTAATGCTATAATGAGGTCTGAACTCTAGTCTAATAACTTTCTTTTCTTGTTTCTTTAGAGTCTTGGAGTATAACTAAGGACAGACACCAGTACTAGCACAAACGTTACCAAGTTGCATGATTATGGAGATGGTCTACCTATTGCTGAAAATGTATCTAGTTTTTTGACAACGGCTTAATAACCATGGGGTCAAGTGGACTTGGAAAAGCAGCAACACTAGACGAACTGCTGAGTACTTGCATTGAGATGTTTGGTATGAGGGTTTTCTCCCTTTTACGTATCTTGATGCTCTGACATCCCCCTTTTCACGCGCAAGTGTTGCTGTGAAACAGAATTCAATCTCCACCTCTGGATTTGAGTCCTTTTTGATTGACCCCAATCTGTCTCCCCCAGGATCACTGCCCTCTCTGCATCTTCTTCACTTTACTTCCCACAGCTAATATGCCAGCCACATGGTCCACTTAATGTTTCTGGGACATCCTTGCATCTTTCTATGCCTACACCTTTATTACACTCCTTCACTAAAATTTGCTTCAGGGACCATCTCAGTTGCCATTTCAGGTGTTCATATTACCATTCCTAATCCCCGCTGTCAGCAGTGTGGATTGATTCCTCCCACAGCCCTTTGGGACTTTCTTATGGTACTTGGTATATGGGGCTATGGTTATTCCTCAGTCTTTTGTCTCAGACAAGCATGGGTAGCACAATCTGCTGCATTCTATATTTGTTTATATGACTTGTACCTTCTACTAAGCTACATGCTTTTTATGTTGTTTATATATCCACTTCCGCATTTCAGGATATTCTTTGCACAAATGGAATCACAAAGGGGTTGTTTTATAATTGTTTTTTTTTTAATTTATTATTACAGGAAGTGTTAGACCAGAGTCGGGTGGCCAGATAAATATGGGATGATCAGTTAAATTTGAATTTTATATAAGGTACATTTTTAGTGTAAGTACATCCTGAATAATGCATTGGATATACTTATGCTAAAAAATCTATTTTTGGTTTACTTTAATTGAGATTAACTAAGTGTTCTGTATTTTTATTTGCTAAATCTGGCAATCTAACACCAGAGGGAGGGTGAGACCTACCTATCCACTCAACTTGCAAGGAAGACCCAAACAATAATTGGGTCTATGAGACGTTTTGACACTAATGTTTCTCTACTGATATTAGAAAAAGAGTAATATTGTTGTATCCTCACCCCTCACTTTATTTTATTTTTTTAACAGATGACAATGGAGAGCTGAACAATAGTTATTTGCCAAGAATAGTTCTACTGATGCACCGATGGTATTTATCTTCCACTGAATTGGCAGAAAAACTTCTCTGCATATATCCTTTCAACTACTGCATAATTTTTACAATCATAAATCAAGTTCTGTATTTAGTAGAGTGTCTAACAAAAGCTGGTAAATTAAGATGAATAAACAGTCTTCAGTCAGTTATCCAGCTGTTTTGTGGAGATATAGATATAGATATAGATATAGATATAGATATAGATATAGATGTCTACACAAGGCATCTGCATGATGGACCAAAGAGTTGACTATCCATCTGGGTGTTTTGGCTGTACTTGAAAATAATCACTAGATATACAATGAAACGGAAGCTTAGGCTGAATGTTTTTAATTTGTCTTAAACATTTCTGCTGTTAGTATAATGAAAGGATAGTCAACACTTATTTAAGACCTAATTTATTCCTTTTAGGATGGCAAAATGATGGACACAGAGGATATGGTTTAGACATATGGAAATGCCAACCAAAATAAGGCACAAATCAGGCACATATGCCACCTAAGTTTTCACATTTTCCCTTGTTGACAAGACACAAAGAACAGTCTAACAGGTTTATTGCAATCGGTTGGTTGATATTAATTTCAGATTTCCTTCTGATACAAAAGCAAGCAAAGAAACAAACAAAAAGACCCAGAAACCCCATTCTAGTAAGAGCTTTTAGCAATCTACCACTTTTGTACACAGTGCAGTCCCAAAAGGTGATTGAAAGCCAAATGACACAAAATGACAAAATAGCCTCACATGTAGAAGGAGGTTTTATTCCTGGGGATCTAATGTTTATTATCAGCCTGCTTCCAGCCCCAGGGGCCTCCACATGACTGGGAAGCCTTACGGGGTAGGAGCCTGATAGGCAGAGGGTCTGTCAAGTATTAGGGCCATGTGGGCTTCCATTGGCTCATTGCAAGCTTCCTCCACTTTCTACTTTTCCTCTCCATCCTTCCTACAGCCTCAGGATAGAAGGGAATATTGGAGAGGGTAAGGGGACATTTACCCTGAGCAGAGGTTCTTGAAAGTGAGCAATATCCCAGTCCTCAGTGTAGTCTGAGAGTCTCCAGGACTCAATATGGGGGTGTAATAGTGCAAAGGTTACAATTATTCAGTGCTGATATCATCAGAGCTTGTTGTCTCCCCATTTGAACATCCATATAACTCACATGTCCCTGGTATGGACTTCTTATTAGGAATTCATCTAAATCGGTCAAACAGCTGCAGGTGTGGGCAAAGGAAACAAGGTACAAGGATTTTTTCTTTAACTAGTGTACGTATCGAGATGCCAGTGGAGAAAACTGTGATGAATTTCGGTTAAAGATCTGCTACTTCATGAGGTAAATATACTTATACATGTAATTTGTCTTCTACTTTATGGTTCTGGAATTGTTGATAATTTCTTTTTCCCCAAGCGGCAGACCTAGTTTGGCAATAGAATGGACTCCGATCCCTCTTTTACTGATTTTGATTAAATTGGCTCTCCTCTGTTCCTGGGAGTTGAATTTATCTTTCTTTTAGAGGTCAAGCCATAGCAAATGTGATTAGGGAATGAAACTAACTGTCGGAAAGAGTAAATTCATTTCTTTTCTATTTCCCCACCATATACTTTCCCATGTAGTTGCCATGAACTGGGAGAAGAGTTTCCTGCCCTTAGATGAGAGTAGAGACACTCAGGACTTAGGGTCAGAAAGAGAGACTCAGAGAGGGAGTGGTAGACTTGGGTCCTTGATTGAAGGAGGGAAAAGTGAGAGCTGGTATCATGCGGAGGGGAACAGGAGATTGCTAATTTGGGGTATGGTCCTGGGTTTATGGTGAAATGTAATCTGTAAAATGATACAATAATTTCCATAAAGGTCTAGCTTGAAATCTTCTCATCGTCAAAAATATTTGATGCCTTTCAGGTACTGGATTCTCAAGTTTCCTGCAGAGTTTAATTTGGACCTTGGTTTGATCCGTATGACTGAAGAATTCCGAGAAGTAGCTAGCCAACTAGGGTATGAAAAACACATCAGCCTCATCGACATATCCAGCATGTAAGAGTGGCACAAGCTTCTTTCAAACATGATGAGTCATGATGAGGGGATGGAATAGTGATGGTCCCGCTTGACCTCAGTCCATACTATTTCAGAATCAAGGTGTGCTCTTGTGAAGAAAGTCTTGCTGCAAAATAAGCACAGCCCCACTGGACATAGTTCATCTTTCCAAGCCTCAATTTCTTTATGTATAAAATGGGGATAGTACCTTGGTCATGGGGCTATTATGAGCATCCAATAAATGCATAGTAAGATAGCATTTGGCATGTAATAGATGCTGAGTACTTAGTTACTAAGTCTAGTTCCTGTCTCCTAAGTCCTTGCCACTCATAGTGTGGCCTGTAGATCAGTAGCACTGGCATCACATGGGAGCTCAGTAGAAATTCAGAATCTCAGGCCCCACCCTAAACCTGCTGAATTGGAAACTGCATTTTAATAAGAGAGCACTAGCCGATTCATGTGCACATTCAAGTTTGAGAAGCCCTGTGCTATGTGCTTCTGAGATAAGCCTGAGGCTTTACAAATGTTGACCATTGTTTTGCCATGAACTGGTTAGCTCATTTACTAGGAACTCAGTGCTAATTAGATTCGCATTTTATATCTACTAGTTAACTTTGTACAGAGAAAACTATGCAATGGCCCTAAGTATGGTTATCCGTCTTGCAAATATATGTTTTTGTGTCCTGGGCATTCATACTCTGGTCCATTTTCCTAGAATACTTCTTTAAGAGTCTTGATCAACAGTGCATGATCCAGGAATCATTAGGGATGTTGTTAAAAATACAGATTATTCAGGTTCATTCCTAGTAAATCAGAATCTCTGGCAGTGAGGTCAGTCCTCTGTCTTTATAACGAATTTTTCAGATAATCCATATGTTGCTGAAGTGTAAGAACCCAACTTCAGGTGGTTTTCATGTGCCTTCAATCACCATCGTATATATTGATAATCTGCCAAATTTATACACCTAACCCTGACCTCTCCCCTGTGATCCAAACCTTACTGGTCACAAGAAAGAGCAAGTAAGAAATTCTGGATGGATCGGTGCAAACCCACCCTGTCTGGAAAAACAACTCAAAGTTTATGTTCTATTGGCAGTGGGTCAGTGGTTTTCTCTTCAAATATGAAGGACAGGGCGTGTATTTTGCGCAAGCTCCTGGAAGCAGGCCAAGAGTTACAGAGTCAGTAGGTTAATAACTTCCATTGAGTGAAATGGCCTTTCAGCACATTGACCAGACTCACTGTTTCTTTTATAGTCCTTCCTATGACTGGATGAGAAGAGTCACACAGAGGAAAAAAGTATCCAAGAAGGGAAAAGCCTGTCTGCTGTTTGACCATCTGGAGCCCATTGAATTGGCTGAGCACCTCACTTTTCTGGAGCATAAATCTTTTAGAAGGATCTCAGTAAGAAACTGACATTTATTCTTCCAAGGATAACAACCACCATGCCAACTTTCCCAAGAGCTGCGTTTTCATATTGGCAGCCTCTGTCATTGTGCTCCACTGGAAAAGTGCCCTTAATTCACAGGAACAATCCCTTTTAACCAAAGATAAATATTATCCTGCCTTTATTTTATGGCTTAGGAGCTATATATCTGTCGCTATTTTCAATGTCTCCTTTCATACGATTAAAGCATGATTTTCTGAATACTCAGTGGAGATTTAACCATTCAAGGTTTATTTAGCTCCATTGACTTCTCCCAAGTGAACATGTTTTGCTAGGCCCTCCATTTGAGGGAAGACATATTTATTTAGGTTGGGATTTGTATAAATGCCTAATTACGGGCATAGGTTGAGAATAAGAATTGTAGGCTTTGATGAGACTCTCACATCAGGTTGTTTATTTCCAGATATAGAGAGCCAGAATTAAACTTTTCTTTCCTACTCCGTCTTAATAGTGATCCTTCTCCACCTCCTTTCTCTTCCTCTTGACTGTGGTCTCTTCCTAGCCACCTACTCTCTATTTACTTGTTATGAGACTATTTCCACAATGGCTCATGATCAGGCTTTGTCTCACCAAGCTCTGGGGCAATCACTCTTTCTTTTCCAAGGTGCCAGGAAATTAATTACATTATTACTTGCAAAGAAGAACATGAGGTTAGAAGTATGGATTTCTGAAAGACTGATTCTTTTCACAAAATAATCCTATTTGGAGAGGACCTTAATGATCCCTTCCTGGCAGGCCATGAGAGGGAACCCCCTGCATTGTTTACATGATAGAAGGCTCACATGTATTTGGTGGCATCCATGCTGACTCCCCCAAAAGGTGTCTGTTTTGCTAAGGAGCTGCCTTACTTCAATTATTGTTTTCTTCTTCTTTTTTCTTAAAAAACTGTACAAAATTATTCTGACTTGAAATCATTATATTTGTATTCATTTCCTTTTCTTTAATGTATGCCATTGTATCTCAGACTTGCCTGGCTGTTGGAATCACAAGTAGTGGGTGAAAAATGAAGACTCTTGGGTTCTTCCTTTGGAGATATTGATCCTTTAGGTCTGAAGTGTCCCCAGAAACCAATATGTTATAATGCAAATGCCTCAGGTGGATCTTATGATCCAGCAAATTTGAGATTCACTGGAATGTGACTTAGACTCTTGTCCCTCCCCGCCCTGTCCAACACTGTGATGTGTAAGCATGTATCTGTGTATGGCAGAGTGAAACACAGCAAAATAATATGTTAAGGGTACGTGTATATTCAAATGTGTAAGATACCATCATAAATGTGAAATGAAAGAAATCATTATGTTGTTATGAAACAGCGTCTCACATCTTCCACACAACGTTCTAATTTCTGATTTTACAAAGACTCCATTATAATTCAGAGTCTCTGAATCTTCCTTTACTAGTTCACTGATTACCAAAGCTATGTCATCCATGGCTGCCTGGAGAATAACCCAACCTTGGAGAGATCTATTGCTTTATTTAATGGAATCTCTAAGTGGGTCCAGTTGATGGTTCTTAGCAAACCAACCCCCCAGCAAAGGGCAGAAGTCATTACAAAGTTTATCAATGTTGCCAAGGTATGTATGTCTGGGCATTAGCCTGGGGTTCTTAAAGGATTCTAGATGTTTGTTCCCTCTAGAGAAAAGTCATCAAAGAAATTTGGGGTTCACACCATAAAGGACAATTAAAGTATTCATAATATCTGGTGGTGAACATCATACTTCTCTCATGCACGAAGACTGCCTTTAATTGGTAATACTTAGAAGCATTCATTGTAACGTTTTCTGTAAAATGATGGATATATTTTTCTGGTGGATTGCATTTGTGCTTCATGTTAAATTGATATTATTTGTCCTAGATCCTTGTTATTAAAATAGTGCATTCACCTGTACGTCAGAGAGGCTGGAATAGTTGAAAAATTCTTACAAAGTATTGATGGTAATTTTTTTTATTGCAGAAGCTCCTTCAGCTCAAAAATTTTAACACTCTGATGGCAGTGGTGGGAGGCCTTAGTCATAGTTCTATCTCACGCCTCAAGGAGACCCATTCTCATCTTTCCTCAGAAGTTACAAAGGTATGGTGGATTAAATTCCAATCCTGAGTACAAAAGTCATTTGTAAATTGTTTAGGGATAGGATGCTCCTATCAGAAGGGGAAAGTTCTCTTCCTAGACAGTGGTTGGTTACACATGGGGAATTAAATAGGAAGGGAATAGGCACACCACTGGCAAAAACAGGTTGGAAGTGGTGGCAAGTGTCCCAATAAGAAGGCCTTTAAGAATACCAAGTGTCCCAACAAGAATACCATTAACATATTGCAGTTGTGAGTACTCCACAAATATGCACTTGGTGCTAACTATGTGATATGCACTGTGACACACACAGGGCGTACAAGGCAAATAAGACAAATCATTCCTACCCTACCCTCCTCAAATCAAGTCAATGAACACCTGCTGTATTCATAGCACTGTGTTAAACACAGTGGACAGATACAAAGGAAGAGAGAGATGTTGACCTTGTGTAGAAATCCCTCAGATTTATAGCTGAGTTCTCAGGTACTGGACAAAGGAAAAATATTATTATTATGGTCTAGAAACAAATATGCAGAAAAAGCTCATTATAAAAAGACAAGATCTGTTTTTTTAAATATATATATGATTGTATATATATATATATATATTTTTTTTTTTTTTTTTTC